TCAAATGGGTTTCACAAAACTTAATGAGTCTTGCATATTTACATTTAATCTGAATATCACAGACAGATTGCATATTATATATACATTCTTACTTGAATATCACGAAGAGAATATGCATAAGGAAAACCTAACCTTCAAAGTTGCATGTGTAATTCATAAGTAATTGGTAAAATTACAAATGATTGTTATACGGACGGCGAAATCCTAATGCTTTACAAGATTTAACTATTTTCATTAAATTCATTTTTATTATGGGTAAATTACACAAAACTACCTCAACTATAGGTTGAACGACATTATCATACATCATCTTTTAAAAATGACAATGTCATACTTCATCTTACGAATTTGTTCTAATGTCAGACCTCGATCAGTTTTTCTATTAATTTCTCTGTTAAGTACGTGGTTAGAAGAGAAGCCAACTAGATTAAAAAATAATTAAATATATTTTTAATAATTAAATATTAAAAATTTAAAAATAAAATTATTTTTTATATAAAATTGTGGGATCACCTCTACAAACCCTTCCCTTCCGGTCGCCCAACCTTCCTCCACCCGTCTCCCCCATTCTTTTCTTCTCTGATGAAACCACCAACCCAGTCGACATTAATCTATATCAAAATGGAAATGGGATTTCAAAGGGGATTTCAAAGGGGAAATGGGCAATCTCTCCTCCTTTTCTCTTCAGAACGCCGGTCATCTCCTTCGTCTTCCCTCACTCCCTCCTCCGTCCCCCAACTTCCTCGTCCTCCTTAAACACAATCAAATTCCTTCACCTAAAACATGAAACAACACCATGTAACATTCAAGACTTTGAAAATTGCAAAATTCATCAAAATTTCAGAGCACATTACATGCAAACCCAGATCTGCCCCCAAAACGAATAAATTCAATTAAAAATCCGCATTCAAAAACCAATAAATTCAGTAACAAATCCACACCAAAAACAGAACCCAGAAGCCAAAAAGTTCTAAAATTTCACAGAAATTCGAAAACTTTTTGGATATCATGAAGGAGTGGCAGGGCTTTGCATCCCATGAGTTGGAGAGAGGCCATCACGGACAAACCTTCCATGTGCACTAGGAGGAGGGCGATTTTCTTAATTTTTTCACCTTCCCTCCCTCCAAAACGGAGCTGTGGAACCCCAGTCATTCCTCGAGGTTCGTCAAATTGCGGTGCTCTGTGTATTGGAAGATGGTATGACGAGGTTCGTACGAGAGATGTTGGGTTTCGTCGGAGAAGAGAGGTTGAGGTGGGGTAGCCGGAGACAACGACTGGGTTGGTGGTTTCATCGGAGAAGAAAGGAATGGCAGAGATGGGTGGAGGAAGGTTGGGGGACGCGTGGGGAAGGGTTTGTAGAGGTGGATCCACAACTTTATATAAAAAAAAATAATTTTATTTTAATTTTTTAATATTTAATTATTTTTTAATCTAGTTGGATTAGAGAGTGGGTTTTTTTTTTAACCACTTTAGCATTTAACAGAGAAATTAACAGAAAAACTAATTGAGGTCTGACATTGGAACAAATTCTTAAAATAAGGTATGACATTGTCATTTTTAAAAATTGAGATATGATAATGTTGTTCGACCCATAGTTGAGGTAGTTTTGTGTTTACCCTTTTATTATTTTAGGTCATAAAATCAAACTTTTCTCAAACTTTGTTTTAAGTTGTTAATTAAGAATTAGGTTAGATACAAATTATTCATTCAATCTCTGTGAAGAACAACTTTGTTAGAGCCGAATATACTACAATTACTTTGTTCTCTTGCAAGTATTTTAAGTGTCTTTATCCTTACTTTTGCAGGTGATAAAAATCCCCGATAACTACACCAATTTCTTGGTAGGATTTTTACCCTTTGAAAAAGGTAAGGATAAAAACACAAAAAAAAAAAAAAAAAATATTTGCAAGAGTATTTTAGCGTTTAGAATGTTAAGTTTTCCTCATGCATATTTTCCTTGTGATATTCAAGCAAGAACATAAATCTAACATGTAATTCGTCTGTGATATTCAGACCAAATGTAAACATGTAAGACTCATTAAGTTTTGTGAAAACCATACAACGCCTAAGAGCGTGATATAAGTGAAATTACAATTATTAACCACAAGAAGCAATACTCAATTCTTCGATGATATTTCGACCGAATTATATCTAATTACTTATCTAAACATCCTAATGATAGCTAAGCATTAAGATATAAACTAATTTAAACACATTGATTAATAATTCATAGTATACATGCATAATATCATAAGCAATTCAATAAAGACTACATATTCATGCTAAGGCTCATGGCCCAGTCATAGCAAATGGAAATTAGTTACAAACAATCATAAAACAAAAGGAATTTTATTGAAATAGAAAAAAGATAGAAAACACCTTGAACGTCAAAAGCTCTCTACGTTCTCCAAATTGAATGGCTAGCCTTATTTATAATACTAAAAATATATAATCCTTACTGAAAAAGGTCTTCTTAAAACTAGGAAATATAATAGAATACGATAACCAGGAAATACATTCATATTCTAACTTTGGGAAATATGCCCAGCCACAAAGAATCCCACATTTCTGGATCTTCAGGACTCCAAAACAGGCCCAAAACGACTTGAATTAAAACTTGAGATGTCCCGAACACAAAAGGCATCATCTTGGACTCCAAAAAGCCCAAATAAGCCCAAAATGTCACTTTGACAGCACTGCATGTAGATCCTTTATTTCATCGCCATAAATAAACCGCTTGGTAGAAAATTTTGAAACTTTGACACGGATAGGTTGAGATACTCACGAACGTCCTCTAATTAGAATCACTCCAAAATTCATCCATTTGATCACATTTTACTCAAAAGGAAGTCGAATGTCCTACATTGGAATATATAACAACGTATTAAAAATTCAACCAAAATAACTAATAATAAGGTAAAATATATAGTATTAAATCGACTCATCAAATACACCCAAACTTAGCTTTTTGCTTGTTCTCAAGTAAAACAAAACTCAAAAAAAAAAAAAACACCCTAACAAACTAAAAATTTAAACAAAAATTAACTAAGACAATTTTCACCTTCAGGTTCCTAGCCTTAGAAAACGTTAAAAATTAAAACATCATTCCAAAAGTTCCAACAATCCCACGACATAATCCAAGCTATTTATAACTAATTAGAAAATAATTCATGAACTTCTTTGGTGTAAAGTGAAACGATAAAGTTAAGGAAATTAGACTAAAACCCATACCTGCCGTCCTTTTTATTCAAACATATTTAAGCTTTAAACACACTTATTTTTTCTTTCTTCTTTTCGATTTTTCTCATTCTTTTTTCTTCATCATTTTTTCTCCTTTTTCTAGCAATAGTAGTGGTCATGCAGTGCCAGTTTCATTAAGCTTTCGATTCAACCCATGTAACGAGTTTTAGGTCAATGACTCACAAACCATAGGGCTTTAGGGCACTAGGCATAGAACACCCCTGAGGACTTACTAACTCAAGTTGAAAAGGCTATGAAACCAACAAACCATAAGGTTTTTTAGCAACGTAAATTTTTGTATTCTTTTTTCTTTAATTTTGTCACTATTCTACATTCAACCTCTGTGTTCCCAAGCTTGTCCCTTACATAGCTTAATAAGAAGACTTGCTTTTAATTATTTTGTTTTAAATGGCTAAATAAGGCTGCCCACTATCTGACTTAGCCAAATTCTACCCTCCCCTTAGTCTAACTACATCATTGTACTAAAAAATTGGCTTGACACAAAACGACGTTGTTTGTCCAAGTCTTTTAAAAAACAGAATAGTCTTCTTCCTCTTCGTCAATCATTAGCATAACCTGCAGCCGCCTTTCCACTGTTGCACTCTTCTTCTCCACCACATGACCAAACTTGGGTAGTCCTCGAAGGTTCTCACATCATCTAATCTGGGCTTTAGGGTGGTCACGTGACCACCCAGCTGGTCCCTTAGTGCATCTACCACTAGTTATAAGGACATACTCCTTCGTTCATTTTGTGGTATAATCTCTATCTTTGATACGGAAATGATAAATGCATATCATTTTTGCTCTCTTATATACAAACTTTTGTTTAATGTTGTCCGATGGCATTCGTTCAATGGTGTGTGAAAGTAAACTTCCTCTCTCAAATTTGTCATTCGTTTTTAATGGTGAGATAAAATCAACTTCTCTCGAATTTGCCATTTCACGTACCTGCCAAAGGACATCAGCCGGCTTCCCTTACTCGATTTTGGCCGAATGATTCAGGTCAGCAACTATAGAGCTAGTAAACTCGGCCAAAAGTTTTGATATAAAACTTTAAGGAAAGCAGCAGTTACCTTGCTGTATTCATGCACAAATATTATGCCAACCGACTTTGAATTATGTTAACTTTGTCCTATAGGCGACAAGGAATGCGATTGATAAAGACGTAAATCACTAAATTACAGTAATCCAACTTTGCATCTAGTGTTATAATATCAAGTACATTACGTTGACTTAACTTTATTAGTACATTTCAATCAGAGTCCGACGTATATCACTAAACCCCTAAATCACAAGAAATTATTAAGATTCTTGTCATTTGTGGTTGTCTTGTGCTTCCATTACCGCATCTAAGCAAGAAATCTAATCATGAATGCAAACTCCAAACAATAGAGGACAAGACTTCACTGTTGTTCACAGCATGTCATCAATCACATGGTTCATATTTTCTATGATTTAAATCTTGGTTTACAAGCCAAATAGAGAGACAGATGATTCTGATAATAAGCCACGCAAATCAAGTGTACATAGAAAATTAGTGGATTGCCTATTGAATAGAGCATTCATCTTCAACTTACTGCATTATTGGTCGGATTCAAATCCTTCACACCACAAACTAAGTAGAAGTCACTTGTAATAAAAAATTAAAAAATAGGTATAATATATTAAAGAAACCAGAAAATACATAACATGCATGCTTCTCTATAAATGTCATTTTGGTTAGTTAGGTATACACACCTAGCAGTTTAACCTATAACCCTCAAAACCTCTTCACATACAGCATACTCAAACAATGGCCAAACTAGCAATAGTAGATTTCTCCAATGAAGACTGCTTCAAGCCTGGGACAAGTTCTTGGCTCTCAATACGCAAAGACATTTGCCATGCACTCGAGGAGCTTGGCTGTTTCGTGGCAATATTACCCAACAAAATTTCTTCGGAGGTTCGCAGTACTTTCTTCGACACGTTAGACGAGTTGTTTGATTTCCCAACTGAAATGAAAGTGAAAAGTTCTTATGAAAAGCCTTACCCCACTGGCTACATAAAAGTTAAAACCGCAGCTTTTGAAAGTTTTGGAATTGCTGGTGCTACAAACCCTGAACAAACTCAGATATTCGAACATCATTTTTGGCCCAATGGAAATGATGTATTTCGGTATGATTTACTCAACTTAATTCCACCAGAAAGATCGAAATATTAATTTTTTTTTTTAAAGTACATTTACACAATTAATTTGTTCTTTGTTGGGCAGTGAGAGTGCTGATTTGTATACAAAAGTAATGGAAGAACTACAGCATGCTGTCACGAGAATGGTGTTTGAAAACTATGGTGTAAAGGAGTACCATGATGATCACCTTCAATCGACTGTTCACACTTGCCGATTTAACAAATACAGTGAGCCTGAGAAAACTAGAACTAATGTGGGTCTGCCAGGTCATACAGACAAAAACTTTAGCACCATACTCTGTCAAAATCATGTCAAAGGTCTGGAAATATATTCAAAGGACGATGAGTGGATATGTTTTGATCCTCTGCCTTCGTCCTTCATATTTCTAGCTGGTGATGCATTACAGGTATGCCACAAACACAATTATGTGATACGTACATACGTAATCAAGTTATCATGACTATTGTTAATTTCTAAAGGTGCAAAGCATTTGAAATGATATATTTTGTAATCAAATTATCAATATTTTGTAATGGAAAGTATAATAATATATTTCTTAGCGAGAATGTTTGTGTGGTTTTGCTTGACTCAGGTTTGGAGCAACGACAGAATACGAGCTTGTAAACATCGAGTGAACTTGAGCGAGAATGATGTACGACATTCACTCGGACTATTTTCATTCAGGGTAGGGGAAACACATACACAGAAGGAGCTTATAGACGAGGACCACCCCCTACAGTATAAGCCATTGAATAACTTGGAATATATTCAATATGTCAAGAAAAATGGCTCCAGCCTTGGACCTGACTATACCGTCAAGGCATATTGTGGCGTTTGATTTGTCTAGGTCTAAGGCTACAAGACAATCTACTCTCCTTATTTACCTTTCTTTACCTCTCCTCGTTTCTTTGTATTTCTTTCTTGTCAAAAGATAAGGCTGTGTAGCCTGTGTTTGTTGTTTGGTATATCTTTATGTCATGGCGTCGTTTCTTATTTACTGTCAAGTTGCGGCACAGTGTGGATGATTGGCTGCCGTCACTGGGTTTATTTGGCTGCCACCGATTGGAATTAATGCAGAAAGATGTATGCCAAATTGGTACTTTTAGTAGTTAAATAATGACCTTTGATCTTGTATGTGATGCAATCGAATGGCCATACTATTCAGAAAATAAACAGTTCTCTATTGAAAAGTTGTGACTGATCATAATTCCGAATGGGCATGACTCGTTTGAAGAGATACATCAGTCTCCATAAATACAGATTGTTTCCTGCATATTTGGATTTAACCAAAAAAGTCATATTTCTCCCTTCGATTTCACAAGTCTCCATTTTCCACTCTAGAATCCACCAAACTCCACCAACTCCTAAATCCCAACAAATTCATTGAATTTTGGATACAACTAGATTTTGAAACATTTTTAAAAACTCGAGATTGAATACCACAAGATTTTGACAAACTCTTTGAAAATCAAGATTGAATACTACTAGAAATTGGCAGATTCGTTAAAAATTTTAATTAAATACACCTGATTTTTGAATTTTTTAAAATCTATCATAATCTCAATTGGATACACATCTTAAGTGTTATTCTCATCCTCTTCGAAAATTTATAGATGCTACTGTTTTCCTTTTCCATGCACTTTCCAGTACTATAGTACGAAATCTAGAAGAGAAGGAGAATGTGTTTAAAAGAAAGAAAGATAATAATAATAATTTGAAGAATAAAGAAGCCCAATGTTTTTAGTTTCTTGATACAATGATATAGGAGGATTGGAATGATGGATAAGTCATAAATGACACAACAATTAAGTATTAAATTTGTTATTTATGAGATTCAAACCTGACTTAACTTGCAAGTTGAAATGAATACTATAAGACAATGATGTTATTAATTAGTCTCTTTCTCCAATGAGACGTTCTATTACAGTTTCTCTAATGTCAGCATTTCACCACGTGACAATCTCCCATTGAACGGTGATGTCATTGAAACTAAAATTTGGTTACTTAAGAAAATCTCGATCCAAAACGGGCCTATTTTTTCATATTGGAAAATGAATGCTTATGGGTCTAACAATCACCACCATCAAATCAAGCAACTTCACCCTTCTTATAAATATCTGAAAGAGATACAACACACCAGACGAAAACTAATATAAAAGAACTCCTAGTGAGTTTCTGAAAATGATTAAACGTAATCAAACTAAAGGAACAGAACAATGTCACTGCTTCCACGCCTTGCAGCTCCAAAACCTTATGTTGGCTATGTGCGTGGACCAAAAGACGGATATCCTGGGGACTACAACATTTCACAACGACAATTCTACACCAAACCCTCTTGATTCACAGTAATTCCCCTTCTACAAAAGTATAGAAGCTCTCAACCCTTCCCTTGCTCTACCTCACCTTCGGCCTACTCTTGACGGGCGACAACATGATGTATTCATACGGTCGTACCACCCTATCTCTATTTACTCTTTATTATGTGCAACCCAATTGACTTTTAATGCATTTTTCTCTTTCTTGATTCTCAAAAGTTCACTCCTTTTGTACTTTACTCTCTCGTTCTTCCAACCATGTCTGCCTCCCTTCTTGAATTAATGCAGATTCCAAAATACTACCACTAATATCTCGAAGAAAAAGTATGTTGTTGATTTCGTATGCACACTTGGTGCATCTGCGACGTACACATTTTACCTTTCCCAAGTACAGTTTTCATTCGAGAAGGTTATAAACACAGAGACATTTTCTACTGATTAAACATGCAAACATGCTTGTAATGTCACTACAAGAAAAATGAGCTTTGGGTACAAAACAAAGGGCATAATTAAGAATTTTGTGTCAGTTTGACCACCAATTCAAAAGCTTAAACAGTTCCCATTCCATAGAGGGCACCATCTATTGTGCCCGATGTTGAAAAAAGCAGACACAAAACAGTAATGGGCACGGAAACCGTGCCGAGTGGAGTCAGATGACAACTTTTTTTTATTGAAAATGGGCACAAAAAACATTTTGCGTCTATAAAAATAATTTGTCAGAGGCAATATATGTTCTCTCTTGTTTGTCTTTACCTCCTCTAGCACACCAATAATTAAAATTTATAAAATTGTGGTAAATAATGGTATGGAGCTGTTTATTACTGTGCAATATTTTAGCCTCAAAATAAGTTAGCAATAATGTTGTTCAAATTCGTTTTTCGCGAGAGCCGAACCTCAGATCTCTCACTTACAAGTAAAGAAGAATACCACTACACTGTAGTACTAAGTGGCGTGTTTTAGATTTACAAAGGATCATTTCCAGGTGCAATGAATGTTTGTTAGATTCGTATCTTTTTGAACTGCTTTTTAGATTGTTATCTTCCTACAGGTTTGTTTTTTTATACTTGGTGATATGGTTTTTGGTTTTATAGTAAGTGTTTAATTTTTTTACAGTATTAAAAGTCCTACCTGCAGTGACACATAACCAACAATTGTGCCCTTAGGGTCAGTCTCTATGCAAAAATTAGTTGGTCTTTAGATAGACAAATGAGTTAATAATTGTAGATTCCTTTTTATGACACTAATGATAGAAATTGTGTCCACTAAATATTAATAAATATTAAGTCACTCTAGTTCTCATTGGGTCTTCAAATGGAGAATATATCTTAATAATTACAAATTCCCTTTTCTGACACAAATGTTAGAAATTGTGTCTAGTAAATATTAATAAATAATAAATCACTCTATAGCAAAATAATATGTTGGCACAATTATGGATTTGTGCCTTTATTCTAGTATAAAACATCCACACTCCTTTACTAGTTTGTAAATGGAAATTTAGAAGGTTGCTTCATACACTTGTGTTTCTTTTGAATTTGATCAAGTTCTACATCATTGAGAACGGCGGACAGGCGACGTCATGGAGTTAGAATTGGAACTGAATCTCCAACATCAAATTCATGTATTGCTTCCAACATTAAAACAACAAATTCCACAACGAATCCTCCAACTCAACGTCCACGACAACCTGTTAATGTCGGGCGCATACCTTGTTCTATTGTTAATCAGTACATTCTTACTACTGTTGCTGATGGTCACCTTGGCTACGCATTACTCTCCAATAACGGATTTGTACACGCACCTCAAAGACGTGTATTGCCAGCATATGTCGTTCTTATTGAAGAACCACACACTTGTCCAGCACAAATTCGTCCTAGATGCCTGTCTTCCCCATAAATGAGCTCACAAAATATGCAAAATGTTACCGTTGAGATTTTAAGTAGCGATGATGAGGACAATTAATATATTTTGTATTATGTTATATTTCACTGGTGTGTGAAAATATAATTATCTTATGCTATGCAGGACTCCTCTTAGGTCCTTTTATCAACTTATGTAGTATTACAATATAGTAATGTTTTCTTTCTAATTGGCCTATGAGATAGATACTCCCAGCATTGTATATTTTTTTGGTTTATAATTATGTTTTCCGTTTGGTTCATACAGAAAAGAAAAACGAAAAGAAAAAAGAAAAGAAAAACGAAAAGAAAAAAGAAAAAAAAAATAAAAGAACAACGCAAGCCTGACACGCAAGCCTTTTATCATGCTAAACACAATTAACCTTCGATAGAACTTCAAAATTAAAACAAAATTGGACTATAACTAATAATGGCTTTGTGAAATCATGTTCCCGGAATTTCACTATTAATTACATATCTTGTTATTTAAATTCGTATTTCACGTTTACGTTATTTTCATTAGTTAATTTTAATTCCGTTGATTTTTGGAATTAAATCGAATAACTATCGGGTTTGAATTTTTGTAATCAATCTTTAAAATGCGTTGACCTTTCGAGTTCACAATTGATGTTTTCAAATAGATCTCGAGATCATGAAGGCATAGACGAAAACTGTTTGCGAGTTCGGATTATACGATATAGTTACGGACATTTGAAGTGGTTTCACTAAACTATAGATTTAAAGGAATATAAACTCCCACCTTGTGGGAAAGAGGCCATTCAGGCCAAAGGGAAGGAACCAATTAGTTAAATGATGGAGGACCAATCAGAATTTAGGGGGGGTTGAGCAACCAATCAAAAGTTAGGAAGAAAAAAATATTACTATGCGAATCGATGCTCGAGTTGTGCTTTTGCCATATCCCAGAGGCGGGGTATGATAAATGTACGGATACTTGATGACGTCACATGTCGATTCAGGACGTATGTCGGGATCGGAGAGTGACAAGCTTATAAAATTGGATTTATATTAAGTTTCTCCTTCCCCAAATTGGACTTCTCTCTCTATTTTATGGTGCAAGTTTGGGTTTCCCACCACCAAATTCAAAAACTTGGGTTTCCACCACCGCATTACACAATTGTGTCCACTAACTCTTATAATAATAATTAAAAAATATTTGTTATAATAATAATTGTGCCCACTAACTCTTATAATAATAATTATAATAATTAAAATTCTACCCTAATTCTGTCTCGGGTCCCTTCTATCTCTTTTCCTTTACTTTCCTCTTTCGCTCTGCCTCCCTCAGATTTTTTTCTCTCACCTTTGTCTCTCTCTCTCCAACCCCTTTTTCTCTCTCTACCTTCTCTAGACAAATCGCGGAGGCTTTTAAGCTCCATCATTGCCAAAATCCCCTAGTAGAAACCCCATACACACGATGGAGGAAGGTTTGGGAAGATTGGGGTCTGGTAGGGAGGGGGTGGGTCGGGTTTGGAAAGATCGATGGATGTAGAGCCTGAATCGGAGATCGTGTTGGGATCCGAGTTCGACAGGAAGGGATCATGGGAGGGAGGTGCGTCGGGTTATGAGGTGTTGGTGAGGGAAGGGCAGGTGCGAGTCGGAGAGGGAGTGAGGAGTCGTGATCCTCGTCAATATTTCGTCGCCGTCGTGGAAGCCTTCGAATTCGGAGTCAACTGCACCTCCATTGCCACCTCAACAAGCTTCCGTTTTTGGGTTCGACCTCGATCTGCACCAAGCTCGCAAAATTTCGTATCTGTCAACCCAATATCGCTCTAAAGCACGCAACAAATGCGTCCATTGTTCCGTTCGTACGAGCGCAGAGTTCTTCTAGTTCGTCTTCTTCCCATTTTCTGGAAAAATGGTTCATGGGTTTTCAATGCTATTGCATATACCATTCAAATTATGATTTGGGTGTCTCGGATTTTAAATTTTAAATTTTGGCATGGCTTCTAACTCCATATTGTTGGTTGCTCGTAGGTTATGTCCCAAGACTCCAAATTTTACAAAGTCGAAGTGATTCTGAGGTGCGGAAACAATTCACTCATCTGTTTGGTTCTTAATTTTGTTTAGGTTGATTGTTTATAGCTCTACATGTCTGCTGTGCTTTTTTCTTCTATTACTTTTGTGTGCGGAATATATGAGGTTATGGGTTTTAATTTCATCTAATTATTTCATCTTTGCTATGATTATGGGACGAGCTAGGCCCTGGCGAGTTTTGCGTGTTTCTTCAGTAAGAACTGTTGAACCTTAAACACAGCTTACTGCATATTAATTGGCATTGCATTTTACATTGGCATAATAAAATTAGGAAAGCAACAAATTGATGTTTCAAATTTTGTTGATTGGATAGTAGGAAGAATAACTCTCTATTTCTAAGCCTGTGTAGTTATCTAAGCACTATCCCATCTTCTTCTGCGGTTGCCTTTAATCCTTTTTACACACTTAAATCCATTTGCATATATTGAACACATAGTCACGACTGATTTGGATTGGAGTTCAAACACAACAAACATTGAAGGTTAATGAAATTCCAATCTAGAGTGCCCTTGATGTCACTGGACCTAAATTTTGATTGCGGTGTGGCCTATTGTGACATGTCAAAAGATCAATTAGTAGTTGTTAGTTGTACCACTATACAATTCATTTTTGGAATTTAATGAAAATTATTTGTGATTATTGCTTGGAATTATAGATAAGATTTCGAAAAGTTAATTCCTTTTATTGTTTCTTCTTGTTCGTCATTGCAGATGCTCATAAAGGATATAAGGTGATGGGTACAATGTTAGTAATAAAAGGTTAGTTTGTTGACATACTGCTTGAATTATTGAATAATGTTGCAACTCTCCCCCATATTCCTGATGTTCATTTGTAATAAAATGTTGATTTTTTGTCATGCCATACTTCGTTTTTGGGTTCATTTGTAAGTTTCTACTGAATCTTTGAACCAGTTTTGGCAGTTGGTTGTTGATCCTGCCACCAAAGAACTATTGCATTATACTGAGAAGCCAATGACTTTTGTATGTACACGATGCAATTACTACTAATCCAAGACACACACACACACACACCAATCCTTTAACAAGAGGGATTCCATTTTTTTATTTTGCAAGTTTCGATTCATAAATCATCTTTGCAAAAATTCAATTCAATTCGAAACCATTTGCCTATTTAATTATCAAAATAAAATTTTATTGTTTCTTATATAACAAAGTATTCGTTAATTTCTTTGTCTTAAACATTTTTGGTTTAGCTAATATTTTGTAAGGATGATCTATGAGATGCAACTTGAAAAATAGACCGTTTGGATCATTAAGTTTGATGTGGTGTGAACCCTACAACTAATCCTCATTTTTTGAAAAAAAAATAGGGATTCCTCTTGTTAAAAGATCTATATATCTATATTGGACATGGACTTGACAAGATTTACACATAATACAAACACGATTTTACCAAATCACCATGTAACAAGTTTTTACTAGACGAGTGATTCACTGGTTCACCACGCTGAAACATTTATTAGACGAGTGACTCAAATGTGATTATATCTTGATTGCAAGAGAATTTCTCCAAAATAAGTCTCTTCCCACTCACCCTATATAATTCTAGTGTTGGAGAAAATTTTCATTGTGACGGGAACACGTGTAGTACACCAATTGTTTTTATGTAAGTGGTGGGAAATTTTATTTTTTAAGTTATTAATTTTTTAACACACATATTCCATCATTTATATAGTGACATGTGGTGCACCACCCTACGTGCCGATCACACTGAAAAAATCTCTCCTAATGTTGCGTTGCCTACATTTGCAATTGGTATTACCGCAATGGTAGAAAACAATAATATTTATCCATAGACACTTGATTCAGCAACCTTTAACTTCAACTACACCTGGCATTCGTATTGTGTTTCTTTTGTTCGTGCCGTTTTTATGAGATATCCAATACCTTAACGCGTTGTATCGTGTAACACCAATTAAAATGAACAGGTAATACGACCCGACTCGAACACGACCTTTTAAAATGAACGGGTAATATGACCAGATCATTTGCCTATTAAAGAAAATATATTTTAAATCAATATATAATCAAATGAAAAATGTAATACTACAAACATAAATAGGATCAAAGAATCCAACGGTAAGGATTTAATCTCACACGGTAAGGATTTAATCTTTCAAGTGAGATTAAATCTTATGGCTATTATTGTAGTAAGATTTTTTAATTAACAAAGAAGTATGAAAAATATAAAATACAAATACAAATGCTCGTAATGGCAAGCTCTCCAACTTTTGGGAAGAGGTCAACTCTTAAATTCGCAACCACAATCCCATAACCACATATTTAAATTTAACCGTAAATTGTCGTTTACGTTTACGCTCTATTCTTCTAATTAAATTTCATTTTTTCATATTTGGTTTTTTGAAAACATTATCTTTTATGGTTAATTGAAATATGAGTCGATGATATATAATTTTTAGAGACTTTATAAACTCTGAGCAATATTTTCATTAACCGTAAAAATATGAACGTGAATCAACGTTCGTTTTTCTACATCCACTAAAAGATAATGTTTTCAAAAAACAATATATAAAAAACGAAATTCAATGAGAATAATAGAGCGTTAACGACAATCGACGGTTAAATATAAATATAGTGTTTATGGACTATGTTGTCAAATTTCAAAGTTGACCTCCTTCATCAAAGTTGTTAAGTTTATCATTACTAGTGGTTGTATTTTTATTTTATTTTTATATTTTTCACACTTCTATATTAATTATTATTAATTTTTATTAATTTACACTCAAACAATAACACTATTCATTAGAGTTTAGAGGGTATTAAAAATCTAAAAGACAATGTAACCATCGTCTAAACGTAGATGATGCAATCACAAGCGTTTTCTTTTCACATTTTTACTTTTATAATAATTATTATGAATTTTATTTATTTTAAACTTCCCTGTTCACAGGGGTTTGTAGGATTTTAAAAATCCAAATGATGATATACCCATCATCAAAGCGAAAAGGATGCAACCATGAGCATTTCTATTTTTTATTTTTTTCACATTTTTCACACTTGTATATTAATCATTACAAATTTTTTAATTTGCTTGGTATTTTTAATGTGCTTTGATATTATTTTAATCTCAGTTATGTGAGATTAAATACTCTGATCATTGTAGTAAGTTTTTTTTAGTAGTTTACAATTATCAAACTAGCTTTTTCTTATAGAGTTGAAATAGGTTACTCGCTGATAAATCCTTAATGTGTGATCTAATAACGACTTAGTTAGTTAACATGTAAACCTAAAATATGTTATTTCGTATCGTTTCAAATCTGGCTAATAGAACGTGTAAAAAATTGTCTAAGTTTACTTTCAACAATGTTTTTTTCCCTTGGCGGCCCCCACCAATCCTCCTAATATTTAACAATTCTATCTTTTGTAAAATAAAATTAAAAAATAAAAAAGAAAACGAATTCAAAAATGCATTGACTAAATTCAAAATGAGTCAAGGGGGTGAGAGCCGAGTCTCTCTCTCTCTCTCACTCTCTCAAAGTCAGCACCACTCAGGCACTCACCACCAACTCATTTCTCTTCAGAGACGGAAATTCATCAAATTCTTTTCCCAATTAATAAAAAATTAAATTTTTAGACAAAATTAGCGAAAATAGCTTTCTTGCTCCTCACCACCCTCTATTACCTCTTCCTCGCTCTCACCCTCGGTGCGTGCTTTATCATCGTCTCAACCGCCTCTACTGCTTCTTCTTCACTTCCCCCAATGGCCACCATGGAGGGCTTGATAGGCCTCGTCAATCGGATTCAGAGGGCCTGTACGGTCCTCGGCGACCACGGCGGCGCCGACTCTGCATTGCCTACTCTCTGGGAGTCTCTTCCTCTTGTCGTCGTCGTCGGCGGCCAGGTCCCTCTCTCTCTCTCTCACACCGCGCTCTCATTGTTGTTTTCCTTTGGTTTCTTTTTTGTTTGGCTTATCGAGTTTTTGCGGTGTGTTTGGATGATGTAATTGCAGAGTTCTGGAAAGTCGTCGGTGTTAGAGAGCATCGTGGGGCGTGATTTTCTTCCGAGAGGATCTGGTTAGGGTTTATGCTTACTGATTACGAATTTTCATATTTTATGCTGTTTGGCTCCTGAGAAAACAGAGGAAAGAAATGTAATAAAAACAGAATAATAGCAATAATAATATTATTATCATTAAAAATAAGTCAACTATTTTTCAACATATAAAGGTAATCGTCAACTCGGTCAAACTAAACAATTTTAAATTGATTTGTTACTTTTTGATTAGAATATACTCAAAAGGCCAACCTAATAAAGGTTTTTTTTACAGATTATGATTGTTATCTTTCAATCTTATGTGCTGTTTGGCTGCTGAGAAAGCAGAGGAAAGAAAATGAAACAAAAAGCAAATTTTAAAAGAAAAGCAAACTATTGTTCAGCATAAGAAAAAATAGTCAACTAAACTAAGCAATATAAAGTTTCTTGTTTGATGATTACATTATTTGTATTAGAACCATACACATTAAAGCTTCAAAAGTAATTTTAGTTTGCTTGGGTTGCAGGAATTGTGACCAGAAGGCCATTGGTCTTGCAGCTGCACAAGACAGAACAGGGAATGCAGGAGTACGCCGAGTTCCTCCACTTGGAAAAGAAAAGATTCACTGATTTTTGTATGTTATTTATTGTACAGATGTGCTATGGATCGAGCACCTGATTAATGTTTTTCTAGTGATTATTCTGGTTTTGACGAGATGATAACGTTAATGTTATTACATTATGGATCCTAGTTTGAGTAGTGTTTTGTGACTTTTTCTTACATATAGTGTAAAATGGTAGATTTTGATGGAAAACTTGGGTGATGTGATGAAACAAAAACTCGATGGTTTGCAGGAAAATACTAACAACATGCACCTATTATGTTGTTCTTTTTGCCCGTATTTTTCAATAGCCTTATTTTCAGGTTGTCTCTTTTGCTTGTTTAATTATGAATCAAAATCACTTCAAGCATGAAATGTATTCTTAGAAATATAGCAATGAAATTTTAGCAAAGGTGTCTAATGTTTCCCCTTCTCTTTTATTTTGAAGGGAATTTCATATTGGATTTTCTTGTTTGTGTCTTAATTTCTTAAACAGCTGCTGTTCGAAGAGAAATTCAGGATGAAACTGACAGAATTACTGGGAGATCAAAACAGATATCTAATGTTCCTATTCATCTCAGTATCTACTCCCCAAATGGTAACAATGTTCTTTACATTGGTTTTGGTGTGATTGTGAATTGTTATTATGATCCTTGTTCTTTTTGTGAACGTATGTATTGGTAGCATTGCTTTACATTACAGATTTACAGTTTATTTTGTTAATATTAACAGAAATTTCATGCCACGTGATGATTATGACCTGTATTACGTCAAAAGAGTGACCTTGATTTCATGAAGTGCACACAATGCAATGAAGCATTTTGTGTTTCAGTTAGAGGAATTTGATTCCATGACCATGTAGTTACATTCTAAATATTTATTTTCGTGCTGTTTAACCATGAGAGCGTCAACAAATGGCTTCCTGCGTAAAACTACTCGTTGTGATGAATGAAAATTCTTAGCTTAACTGTTCATCAATAATTTTATTATTTTCCTTCTTCTGAAATCTTGGGTTAAAACAAGTTTCTACAATGGAAATTATCTGTGGTCTTTTGGTGGAATGAATTATCTGTGATTCATGTTTTTTCTGTCGCATAAGGTTGAGCCCTTATCTTTTATTCAATGAAGTATTCAATAATGATCTGTTGTCCATTTTTCTCTCTGACAAACATATGATTTATCTTCTTGGCAGTTGTCAATCTAACATTGATAGATTTGCCTGGTTTAACCAAGGTTGCCGTAGGTATAATTGTTAAACTGTTTCCCCTTGGTTCCAAGTTCAAATGAAAATTTTAATGTTTTATTTATTGAATATCTACTCATAGATGTTTCTTGCTGACAGAGGGACAGCCAGAGAGTATTGTTCAAGACATTGAAAACATGGTTCATTCTTATGTTGAGAAGGTAATACGGAGTTCCTTTTCCCCCTCAATTTATAGATAAATAGCTTAGAACAATGGAGAATTCAGTCAGAAACCAGGTTTGCAGTTGCAGTGGACATTCTGTCAAGCAATTTACTCTTTAAATTGGTATCCTCTATTCAAAGGGGCGGAATGAGTCTGGATATTCCGACGATTCAGTTTTCATTCGGAATAGCAATTCATTCTTATCACAGCTTGCATGTAAATAACATCTTTTTATCTATTTAAGTCAATTTAAGGGCTGAAGAGTTATACTTAAACCGATTCCCCATTTTCGAGCTTTGATTGATAAATGTTTTTATCCTCAAGTCTTAGCTTTATTAACCGTTCTAATATTTAACCTGCATGTTTGTGTTGTGACCATTACCAGGATATGTATTACCGTTTACTAAATTTCTGGATAGATTGTTTGCCTTGAAGTTATTCACAAGCTAAGTTTGGTTTTATTCTTCATTCTTAATGAAAACGCTTCTTAGTACAGCCTAATTGCATCATTCTGGCAATAACTCCAGCCAATCAGGACATAGCAACATCTGATGCTATCAGGATTGCTAGACTAGTTGATCCTACAGGTATCGTCCCTGAACAATTTTCCGACTTTATCATTCAACTGTATGATCTCGCATGGTCCATGCGTCACAAATCTTCTTTTGCGCTTTCGTTTTATGTATTGATCTTCTGTGTTTCTTTTCTTAGGTGAGAGGACATTAGGTGTGTTGACAAAGCTTGATTTAATGGACAAGGGAACAAATGCTTTGGATGTAAGACTTCTTGCTTGTATTATGCTGTTCCACTTGAATTGCTATTTCATGTACTAAATATTTCCATCTTTATTCTAGTCCGATTAATCTATTATTAAAAAGATCCATCAGACTGCGGTGGATTGAATGATTTGATCAATGAATATTCGATTCTTTTTTCAAATTTTAATCAATTCACAACAAGTCTTCCAAGTTTCATATAAATATAAAAAAATACAGATTGGGGTTGTCATTAATTATTTGAGATAGTATTTCAGTACTATACGTAAGTATATAGGTTTATCCTTCATCCTTTCTGAAGTTTCAAGTTCAGAAAGGTGTTTAGCTAGAACATCTATGGTGGTGGTTGATTTTGTTGGGAGTTGCATTTTATATTAGAACATATTTTGCTCATGGAGGTTCGCGTTTGTTTTTTCCTGGAGGTCATCAATCCACTCTGTTGATGATAGGTCATAATGTTTTATTTGCATTGAGTTAGGTTCTCGAAGGAAGGTCTTATCGGCTTCAACACCCTTGGGTCGGAATTGTGAACCGTTCACAAGTTGATATTAACAAAAATGTGGATATGATTGCTGCCAGGCGGAGGGAGCGCGAATTTTTTAATTCCAGTCCAGATTACGCACATTTGGCAAGCAAAATGGGTTCAGAATATCTTGCAAAACTTCTCTCAAAGGTTTTCCCAGCCCCCTACATCTATGATTTGATAGCTCAATGTCTACATATAATGTAGAACTTGGGAGTTAACATTTAGTTTTCATATGATTTCAGCATTTGGAGTCTGTAATTAAAGCTCGCATTCCAGGAATAGCATCTTTGATCAATAAAAGCATCGGAGAACTTGAAGCGGAGTTGGATTATCTTGGTAGACCTGTTGCTATTGATGCGGGGGTGAGAAATCTATATATGTCATCCATTCATTCAATTGTGATGCTATTTGGTTTTAGATTATCATATGGAGTTATTTTGTTTGTATGTATCAGGCACAGTTATATACTATCCTAGAGTTATGCCGGGCATTTGACCGGACATTCAAGGAGCATTTGGATGGAGGGTAATACATCCCTTTTAACATGCCATATACATATATTTTTTTTGTAGAATACATATGGATGATAATGCCTCCTTTCATGTAACTTTACATTTTCTGATCGAGAATCTGATGTCCAGCGATATGTTGACATTGGGAAAAAAAAATAAGATGCATTTAATGCTTCATTTTGTGACCAACACATGATCTTATTCTTCACAGTTCATGTGCGATTGAGCATATGTGAGCCTGATCAAAGAATTTCTTCTTGATTCCTCTGCTCTTTCATATGAATTCACCAGTTCTGTATGGCTGGCTTTGAGAAAGCCTGTCAGCTCTGAAGGTTCAAAAATAGTTAACTTTGCAAAACGTTAGCCAGTGATTATATATAACTGCTATTTTTTCAATTCACTCAATTTCTATCCAGTAACGCTGCCCACAAGTATGGGAAAAAAAGATAATAGCATTTCACTGATTTTTATACGACAGACGACCTGGTGGAGATCGGATATATGCTGTATTTAATCACCAGCTCCCTGTTGCTTTGAGGAAGCTCCCTTTTGACCGTCATCTTTCAGTTGAAAATGTAAGGAAAGTCGTTTCAGAGGCAGATGGGTACCAACCTCATCTAATTGCACCTGAGCAAGGTTATCGGCGCCTCATTGACAGTGCACTTAACTATTTCAGGGGTCCATCTGAAGCATCAGTAGATGCGGTAAGTGTCTACCATTCCATCTTATTGTCCTCAGGGTAGTTTGGGGTTCATTAACGCCGAACAAGCTATAGCATAGCAATTTTGTTTCCATGGCCACTGGAAGCAGAATTGTTTTAAATTTTGTTCACTTGACAATAAAGTAGTTATTCAAGCAGCATTCTTATTCAGTAATCGAATACTGCAGGTTCACTTTATTTTGAAGGAAATTGTGAGAAGGTCAATTGGAGAAACTCAGGTTCAAATCTTTAAAACTAATACACTCCATCTAACACTCGAATGGTTTATTAGTGGGGAAAGTTATAGATTGTGTTTTGGGAATGAAACAGGAGCTGAAGCGCTTTCCAACTCTTCAAGCCGAATTGGCAGCAGCTGCTAGTGAAGCATTGGAGAGGTTTCGTGAAGACAGCAAGAAGACAACTTTGCGATTGGTGGACATGGAATCCTCGTATCTGACAGTGGATTTCTTCCGGAATCTCCCTCAAGAAGTGGATAATGGAAATCCGTATGCCGCTCCTGAAGTTCGATATGCTGAGGGGCACTTCAACAGGATAGGATCCAATGTTTCCTTGTATGTTAAGATGGTCTCGGAGACACTGAGAAATACTATCCCGAAGGCTGTCGTTCATTGTCAAGTGAGGGAGGCTAAGAGGTCTTTGCTTGATCACTTCTATATCCGATTGGGCAAAATGGAGGTTCTCTCTCTCTCTCTCTCCCTCTCTCTCTCTCTCTCTCTCTCACATAGGGTCGATGCTGTTTGGCTGATTCGAGTACTGTTATTTCGTGCAGGGAAGGCAACTTGCACAATTGCTGGGTGAAAATCCTGAAGTGATGGAAAGGAGGCAACAATGTGGCAAGAGGCTTGAATTGTACAAGTCTGCAAGGGATGAGATCGACTCGGTCTCATGGTCCAGATGAATCATGAAACTGACCCTCAATGCATCTTTTTTGTGTGTATTTTAGGATAAATAACCGTGAATGCATGTCAAGTATAGTCGTTTCGGGTGGAGTTTAAATCATTTCAGTTAAAAGACATTTCCTTAGAATCATTATCATGGTCCTTGCCATCTTGTGATATCATGCCCGCAGAAGCCTATTTGAGATGTTCATGGCTTTTATTTTATTTTTAATTTTACATACGTTAAATAAACGGTTAAATGGGTATCCACCCATAATCATCCATTTAAATTTTACGAGTAAACGATTATGCCTATAATTGTTTATTTGTTTAAATGGTTACCCATAACCGTAACCGTAAGCTTTAAATGGATGGGTAATTGTGGTTACCCATATCTATGGGTATTTTGCCTATCCCTATGTACAGACCTCTGTTTAAATTGCTTAATTAAAAAAAAAAGTTTAAATTGTTTAATTTAAAAAAAAAAATTAAAAGGAAACGAGCAACGGATGCAGGTCCCTAAGAGAGGATCTTTGCCGGATCCTCCAATCACATCCGTTCATCGTACAGTATACGGTTAGTTTTCGTCAGGTACTGTTTATATTCAATTTTAAATAAAAAAATTTACAATGACTTTTGACTGCACGATGTACGATGAACGAATGTAATTTGAAGATCCATGGGATCCTCACGAATAGAATTACGATGATCCTCACTCCAGGTCCCCCACTTAGGGGCAGACCAGGGGTTCCCATTTACTCTCGGGGACCCTACGGAAGTGGAGAAATATGAGAGGAAGGTCGCCAAAGAAGCCTATGGTCATCTGGTACGTGACCTAAGAATGCCCACAAACAGTTTGATGAAATGCCCATTCCACAAAATTTGGCAAGTGAGGCCTGACATGTTTTCGGGCTTTGAAAGCTGTTGACAAATTTGGTAGCCAGCCTTAAAAGTTGTTGACATATTTAAGCAAATAACAACATGCCCACCAAGTGTTTTGACTAAATGTCACATTGAAAAATTAAATATGTTTGCATACCCTTGGATATTTATATTAGGGCTACACGAAGTTAGAATTCTGAATCCGTAATTGTCCTCGCGCACCCAATTCAACGACCACAACTATGGCCCACCCATGCACCACGCCAAAAGCAAAACTAAAGATCTTCATTTGGTGGATCTCGGTTGTTTTAGCTATTAAATTTGATTTCCACAACTATTATATTTTCTATTTTCAATCTTATCCATTCATTTTCGTATCACTTAGTGCTGTTGTTTGGGTCAGAAAACCTATATTTTGGCCAAGAAGGAATTAGCCCAGAAAGAAGGCTGCGAGTCTCGCCCCAATAGTGAAGTGCTAGTAGTTCAGTCGAGTCATAAGTGAATCAGGATTGCCTAAAAGGTCAAGGTTTCGATTGTGGCTCGGTCGAGTCCTAAACAAAATAGGACTGTGAGGATTAGGATGGGTTTGGATAAGAATTGGATTAGATTGTTTAAGGATTAAAACTCGTGTCTAGATGAAAATGAATTGATCACATAAGGGGACTAGATTCAGAATTCTAGTTCAAGTAAAAGAGAGCTAGACTTGGTGATGATAGAGTTTCGGTGGGAGGATGATTGCAAAGGATAAATCCAAATGTATTCAAATATTGTTAAGGAATTATAGTGCTATTAGAACTCTACCACTTGAGCATCGGGGAATTTGTCTCTATAAATACAAGAGATTTGCAATATAGAGGGGATATTCAACTCAACACATAAATCAACGTCTATGCAAAACCTCTCACACCTTTTGAGAAAACAAACTTGTTTAATAACCGTTAGCACAAATTTCGACTTGATAGACGAGTTTGGGTTGGCAGCTAACAGACAATGATTGACTAGATATAAGGGGTTTTCCAAAAGCTACCAGCAAAGGTGCCGACTAGATAGACGGGGACGGAGTTGTAGGGTCATCAGTTCTAGAAATAGTGTCACAAGTTCTAGAAATAGTTTCACCGTTTCTAGAAATAGTTGCTTAAAAATAGTGTCATTGTTTCTAAAATTGTTGTCACAGTTTTTAGAAATAGTGTTATCATTTATAAAAACTAAAAACAAAAAGCTAAAAAGACTAAACAAAATTGACTAATATAATAAGAAAAAGGCCTAAATTTTCATTACTTTTTCTCGAAATTCATTATTTTTAAGATACAATATTTCTTATTGATAAAGTTTTATTAATTGTTTTTATTAAAAATTTGTTAATAATAACAAAAAATAAAAAAGAACAAGGATGGGAGAACACAGTGACATGAGAGAGAGAAGAGAAAGATGATAGTGATGTGTGAAAGATGAGAGAGAAATGATGGTAATGGGTAAAAGAGGAAAAAGATAATGGTGATGAGTGAAAAATGAGAGAAAGAGATGACAATGATGGATGAAGAGAGAGATGATAATGATGATGGGTGAAAAAAGAGGAGATATGGATGGGGAACGGTGGGAGAGAGAAAGGGGTACGCGCGAGTTTTGCGAGTTATTTTTGTTTTAGTTTTTTTCTTATTATTTTAAAATTTTGTCCTTCTAATTAGAAATCAAGACCCCCCTTGAATTTCGGTGAATCCTCATAAGGGGCGAGACTGACCCCTTGAATTTCGGTGAAGACTGATTCATTAAGGGGCAAGACTGACCCATTGAATTCCGGTGAATCTTCATAGATGACTTGGTCATGTCCCTTTGAAGGTTGGAGTTGTCTTTCAAACATTCCCTCCAACTGCTTGATAAAATGCCTCAAAGAGGAGTTACCGTTCTCAATATTTTTTTAAAAAAAATATCAACTTAGGCATTATATTCTTCTACGCGTTCAAGTAGTGAATTTTTTCAATTGAAAGGAATTAGTAGTCTTGCAAAAAAAATTGGGGGAGACGGGGAGGAATATAGTATATAATCAAGTGTTTTTGCTAATTATATTGACTTTGATTCGACCAGTTGCTATTATTTTAGTGGAGAGAGCCTTTTTGCAATGAATATTGTGAAAAGTCCATTGCATAACTGGATGGGAGATCAATGGTTCAGTAATAGCACGATGGTTTGTATTGAGAGCAAAGTTTTTTCTTCCATTGATAATGAAGCTATAATGCAGCGTTTTCAAAAAATGAAAACACGTCGTGGACAATTATAACTTGTATTTGTTCTATAAATTATGAATGATGTAACTATGGTTTAATTTTTAAGATTATTATATGTCTAAAAAATGTTCGTGAACTTTTACATGTGACCCTCCAAATTATTTTTCCTGGATCCGCCTTACTAAAATTGAAGTATTTTTTTATTAAATAAAGTTATTAGGTGGTTTTTTTTTTTTTTTTTTATCAATAAAGCTGCCCTTCAATATTTCCAGTACCGAAATTGAAATCTGATCTCATAATTAAACCTACCAGATTTGCATACTGATTTTGACAATTATCCTAAGGCAATAACGCGTTCTTTACAACAATAAAAAATAATCCATCTCCGTGAGAATAAATAAGGACCTCATTGTTTCGCTTTGAAATATATCAGTATCGCAAGCTTATCACAGAAAAATTCAATAGACATATAGCAAATGCCAAGCGCCCCTTAACCTATTGACTCCTCAGCGATTGGTGATTTTGGAAAAATTGTAGTATGAGTCTTGGTAGTTTTTCAGCTTTCTGTTAGCGATTGAACATGCGAGAGTTAAAAGGTTAGTTGTTTGACCATCCCTTGCATCAAGTTATTAGATTAGAATTTCGCTTGAATAGAACAACAATCCTTATTTTCTCATCCATGGATTTTCAACGTTTTTTTATTTTTTTATTAAAACTTAATAAAATACTTTCAGTTACATATCTGGGAATTCTTATCACTAGAGGTTGATATGGGAAAATTTTATATGATGGTAATCCATATTTATAGATAAGCCACAAAATCCTTGTCAATATTAAAATTTAATTTCATATATATGTTGGGAGAGGGTAATTGAGTATAGATTGAGAAAATAGGCACATATCTAAGAGAATTAATTCGGGTTCATGCCAGAGCACTCGACAATGAAGACAATCTATCTCTTACGAATATCAATGGAACGATATAGAAATATGGAAAAGGATTTGCACATTGTTTTTATAGATTTGGAAAAAGCATATGATAGGGTCTCAATAGAAATTCTTTGGAGGATTCTAGAGAATGAAAGAGTACGAGTAGCATATATTCAAACAATAGGTTTACACCAAGGCTCAGCTTTAAGTCTTTAACTTTTTGCATTGGTAATGGATGAGTTAACGAGACATATCCAACATGATATATCTCTTGGTATATGTTTTTTGTTGATGGTCTAGTGTTGATAGATGAAATGTAGGATGGAGTAAATGTGAAGCTTAACTTTTGGCATGAAGTGTTGGAAGCTATAGGCCATCGCCTGAGTAGGTCAATGACATAGTATATGGAGTGCAAGTTCAATGGAAATGGGGGCCTAAATGAGATAGGGGTGAGGATTGGAGATCAGGAAGTACCAAAGAGCTAGTGAATGTTTTTGTTCTCTGGGATCTTTCTTGCAAAATAACAAAGAACTAGATGGAGATCTCAACCATAGAATTCAAGTTGGATGAATGAAGTGGAAGAGTGCATCGGGTGTGGGGCAATTGTCGTATGCCACCAAAACTCAAGGAAAATTTTTTATAGGACAACAATAAGGTCAGTGATGTTTTATGGCACAGAATGTTGAGAGGTCAAAAAGCAACACGTGCAAAAAATGAATGTAGCGAAGATGAGAATGCTTTGTTGGATGTGTGGGCACACGAGATAAGATATGATTAAGAACGATGATATCCGAGAAAAAGTATGAGTTCTTGCAATTAAATATAAGATGAGAGAAAATTGGTTAAAATGGTTTCGACACATGAGCTGACGAACTATAGATATTCTGGTTAGAAGAGGCAACTATAAGACGTAGGCCTAGAAAAAATGGGGTAGAGGAAGACATATGAAGATTTTGAAAGAGACTATAAGACAAGATATGGAATACCTTGAGCTAACAGAAGATTTGGTGTAAAACCGTGCGTAATGGCATTTTAGGATTCATACAACCGACCCCACTTAGTAGGATGAAATTTGGTTGTTATTGTTGAGACTTTTTGAAGCACATTAATTTATTCA